CCATGACTCCCTAGCACTAAGCCAGGGCAGTGCCTCAATTTAATGTGCACTATTTCTGGCAGTCTGCTTAGGCCTTTGGTTTCTCACTTCCTTCCTCTCTTGTACAACCTTTTAGGCAATCAAAAAAAAAAACAAAAAACAGTGATATTTGAGAGCTATATAAGGACATAGTCCAACCAAGTTAAACTTTGATTTACACTGTTTTGATCCAGAAGTCACGTAGCTCATTGAATTTTTACAGAGCTTGTTTGCTAGTAGGAAATATCCATAGCTATAACGTAACTAGCATCTGGGTCCTCTGACAAAGATGAAAGATGCATAAAATAGAACAAAAATGTCTGCTATTTGCAACTGAAGAGCTCAGCAATGAAGCAAAGAAAGGGAGATGGATAAGTACATGCCTGACTACACATCTAATTTGGTGCTTGCAAGCACATCATGAAAAATATTCAAGGCAGAAAAACTGGAAAAATTAGCGGATTTGAGTCTTTTCTTTTTCTTTTTAAACCTTGCTTCCATGTTTAACACATTCTTCCTGAATCCGGTACCCTCCAGATGTGTTGAATACAGCATGGCAATATTTTGTTTAAAAAAGTTATTAACAATGAGACAGAGACATAACACAACCATTTTTTTTACAGAACAAAAAACACATTAGGCCTTGCACATTGTGTGCAAGTTGCCTGCCAACTTATGGTGACCCCATGAATTTCACAGTTTTTTTAGGCAAGGAATCAGAGACTGTTTTCCCAGTTTCTCTCTCTGAAATATAGCCTATGGCAGCTGGTATTTGTTGGTGGTCTCCTATCAAACCAAAGCTGACCCTGCTTGGTTTCCAAGATCAGATGGGGACTTATGCCTTTAGGCCCTCTCCCTTGAACATTATTTCTCCAACCCCCCCCCCCCCCCCCCCGATGTTTACGTGAAGTCTTTGATTCATAGATTCACAGCATGAGAAAACAACAGGAAATGAACAGAGAAATAGCACTTCACCATTCAAATAAGCATCTCTGTATAGTTACTTTTAAAAATACTAAGGATAAGGAACCTGTAGCAGTTCAGATGCTGGACTGACACTCCCATCATCCTTTGTAATTGGCTAAGTTGACTAGGCCGAATGGGAGCTGGAATCCAATTATATCTGTTGGACCACAAGTTGCCCACCTCTTATTTTGCCCACTGAGGTCTCCTGGATGACAAAAAAGCTAGAAACAACAGCAAAATGCATAGCCATACTTATTAAACATCCTGCCATAATTCCAGAACTGGAACTCAACAGTATGCTAGCTGGGAATGATGGGAACTACAGTTAACACATCTGGAAGGCACCAGGTTTGGGAAGGCTCGTCTAGAGTAACTGGGAGTGGATTTTGTATGTTGAAGGGCTCTGAACTCTATTTAGTGAGAACATGTCAGGAAATAAACATCCTGGGTTTAAGAATTCTTTTACTTTAAGCACTTTCTGCACCAGGATTCAACTGACAGATTTTGGAATTCTTATAAAAAACAAACAAACCCCAACATGAAAGTAGATCGCTTAGGTCTGGAGTTTACCCATCCTTCATCTACATTATTTGTATTCAAAGTACTCATAATAAGCAAGGGAAAACAAGACACCCAAAGATCGATAAACTTTTCCAATCTCTCCAAGGCCAATATGGCCAAAAAATTTTCATCCAAGAGTAAT